CATGTTTCTGAGGCCACAGTCAACTGCGAAAGTCGGTGAAAAAACTTGGATGTATTAGATCATAATTTCTTGTCACTTTGCAGATGACTGTAATAATAGAGTGTGCCTTTCACGTCATTTTCGGGAATAATAAAATGGATGTAATTGAACCTATGGTCAAGCAGTGGGCACAGGAGTAAGTCTTTTGTTCTACACGGATTTTTCATGATACATGATGTGGCATTCATAAGGTACTTGAAACTTGATGAATGGACTCAAAGCAATTTCGAGCACGAGTTCACATATCTAGCCGGGGAATTGAAAGGTAAGCAAATGACTTCGCAAATGCTCTTTTTTCAGCTTTTTTTCATAGCGATTAATTTACCCCTACATTTAGATATTGCGAGTTAATTAGCACCCTTGTAGGAGGAGAAGCCATCAGGCTTTGAGCCTGATAGAATATATAGATACATAATTGTAGCCTTGTCGCAACAAAGTATTTTTTCTTACGACTTTATTTCTCAGCTTCCCATTCAATTCTCATCTTGCAATTGCTCATTTATAAGTTACTACCAACCATTTTATTCTTAATTTTGATGATAAACAATGAGAATAAGGAACAATATTCACATCGCATATCTTACAATTGATGCTCATTAAACGCATCCTACAGCAGAACTGCGTACCTGGGAGGCTTCTTTAAAAACATAAGAAATAAAGATCGTCTTGTATCTATCCAGATCGACAACAGCCGTTTTTAGGAACAGCCTGAGAAGCCTGAGAAGCATTGGCAGAAAGTTGAAGTACTTTGTCCTCGTTTTTATGAATATTTGCCATCCCTGACCGATAAATTTTCGTGAGGACAAGAGTAAAAGCCTTCTCGACGTTTGAGTTGTCTAAAGCGGAGGTTTCTGTAATTAATAAAGGTGAAATGAGCAGCATTTTCTCGTCTTTTGATTATCTTTCCTCGACTGGTCAACTAACCAATAAATGTGAGGTCATTCTCCTCGGAAAATCTTCTGGCTATATCTGAAGGGACTTCACGTAGATTTCTTAAATCGGACTTATTGCCAATGAGCAACACTGATACATTCTCTGATTGTTCGCGAAGGTCTCGCAACCATTCTTTACACGAGTCAAATGAGCCTGGTTTAGCTGAAATAAGCAGTACAGGACTGTGTATTCGATTCCGAAACAAAATCGAAGAACAATAACAAACAACATTCAAAAACCTTCAACATTCGTTCTCAAACATGCGCAGTAGGCA